CTGTTTTGTCTGGGTACTCGCCTGGAGCTGGGATGTGGGATGCATGGGGTGGAGGTTAGGTAGGAGGAGTGAGACTGGGCTCCGTGTCCCTCTAGAGCACTGGCCTATCTACAGGCCTTGGAGGACAGCTCCACACGGTCAGCACGTTAGCCCACCCACTGGAAAACGGTAGAGCCTGCTTAGGCTGCAAACTGTGTCCCAAGATCACCAAATCACCCACAATCAGACACCTGAGGTGGATGCCCAGGCTTGGCAGGTGCAGGCAGCGGAGTCCCCACCTTGCTAGCCTCCCACTCACATAGTCCCCGAACCCCACGGAGCTGAGTGTGATAAAGAAGGAGCAGAAGTTCCCCCATGTAGCTGCTGCCTTCCATGTGGGAGAAGAGAAGTCGAGGCAGCAATAGGGAGATCAGGAGGCCTGAGAGCAGCGCAGCGGAAGAAACTGTTAGACACCATGCCCACGCTGGGTCCCGCAGAGCACAGCGCTGGTCTGTGGCGCTGACCGGAGGAGTGAGAAAGGAGTGCCCTTCCCCGTTTCCAGCTTTGTTTTCTGCAAGAACCTATGGTAGTTTTGATGCCTGTCAGCCTTCTCATTCCCGTGATAGACATAGTAATGATCAAAGACCATTCTGGACTTTGTTCCCTCAACCCTATCAAACCCCCATTTTCCCCATCCCACCCCTCCTGGTCCTGCACCCCATTTCCACCAGAGTCCCTCTTCTGGAAGTGACTCGTCCTGTTTCCCAGCCACTCCCTTACCTGCCCGCTGTACCCGAGCTGGTGGGCACATTTGTCCCCATGCTGCATGAGATGGCACAGCTGAGTAAACACCATCCCTAGGAGAGCAAAGAATAAGCAGAAGAGACGGACAGCCATGGGTTCTGTGGGCTCAGTCTGCCATAGCCTTAGGCAAGACGGCAAGACGGGCTTTGCTCATGGCCACTGCAGCCCTCTTCCTGCCCACCCCTCACCCCCACACACACACACACACCCTGCCATTCCACTCTCACTCTGGAGTGGGCAGCTCCAGTTATGAGCGAGAGCTCTCTTCCGGTACGGTCACTTTTCTTGTCCCATGCCCCCTGCGAGGCTGCGGGACTTCGGACGAGGTCCTTAATAGTTTTCGGCCTATTTCCTTGTACTTAAAATGGGTGCAGACATTCATTGGGCACGGGTGTAGTGCAGCCACAGTGGGGACGCACTGCCGATGGGAATGTGAGTCCCTGAGCAATGTGTGCAGGGCTAAGGAGGTGGACGAATGGGTGAGGGAAATCTGTCATGCTGCTCTCTTCCCTGAGAATTTCCTCAGGGGCCGCTTTCTCTGGAGCCCCCATCCTCTCCTGTCTTGTTTTGTTTTATTTTGTTTCTCTTAAAACAGGGTCTCTAAGCTAGGAATGGTGCCACACACCTTTAGTTCCAGTGCCCAGGAGTCAGAGGCAAGAGGATCTCTGTGAGTTTAAAACCAGCATGGTAAACAGCGTGAGTTCCAGGACAGTCAGAGCTGTATAACAGAGACCTTGTCAAAGAAAGCAAAACAAAATAGAGAAATGGGCCCAACCAGTAAAGTGGTTGTCTTACAAGTGCAAGATCTGTTTGCTGACCCCAGCACCCACATAAGACATGTGGTGGTGTGTGCTCGTTACTGGTAATCTCATTACTGGAGGGAGAGATAGAAAAAGCCCTGAGGCTCTCCAGCCAAGTCCCAGGGAGAGACCCTGTCTCAAAAAAAAAAAAAAAAAAAAAAAAAAAAAAAAAAAAAAAAAAAAGTGGATGGCTCTGGATGAGAAATAAAATCAGCCTCTGCGTGTGCACACACACACACACACACTCATGCATGCACTGCACACACAGTTGTATACATTCATTTTAAATAAACTAAAATAAATACATAAATAAAGACAAAACACCACAATGGCCAGCTGGTCCTTCCAGGATCTATGGAAACCAAGGGACTTTCCACACACACTGTCTCAAAGATTGCCCACGCTCCCGGGAGTGATCGGTGCTCTTGATTAGAAATAGTGGCTGCATTAAAACTACCCAGAGGGCTATGCATAGTGCAGTTCACCTGCTCTCTCAGGCAAGGACTAGAAGCTGGAGTCATCGTCGGTGTGGGCCTGCCACCTGGTGGTAAATCCTGGGTCGTGCAGGGAATGCCGAGAGCGAGGACACTGAGGCCATTGACTGACATTTTCCCCTGAGATTCAGGGTTGCGGGAACCCAGGTCTGTTGGCTCATAGTGTCTCCAAACATCAGTCCCCAGTGGCCCTTTGGGGATGGATTCCACCTCAGTTTAGCTCTAGAGGGGAAATAGATCTGGAATGAGAGGTGTTGGTGGGCTAAGAGGAACAGTAGGGAGGGGCTGGGTGGAATGACCAACGTCCCATACGGCAGCAATCCCCAAACTTTTAAATGTGTAGTCTCCCTGGTGCCTGGAGAAATGAGGAAATCATTTCTGAGGCAGGATGTGCTGCTTGTGTGGGGAGATGTTCTTAGTTCCCACTCCCCTGGCCTCTTGGCTTCTGGCTCTCCACTCTTCCAGCCTGCCACCATGTTCAGTCTGGACCCTTGCACACGCCTCTGCCCATGCTCTACCTCCTGTCCACAGTAACCCTCCTCAACCCATACCTAGGAGCTGCATGCCCTTGTTTCATTTTTTTTCTTTTTATTGACTTACAAGTCTCTACGGCTCAGAAAGTTACAGGATTCCCAAGGCAGCTCCTCCATTTTATATGCATAGTAACAATTTGCTGAGGAGAGAGGACTCTTCAGTGTGGCTGTCTGTGTGATGAGTTCCAAGGATGCAGCTTCTGGGAGACATCACCCTGATGGGGTGGCTTTCCAGTGATCCAGGACTCTAAATCGCCCATGTTCCCACTGGTAAACCAATAACCTCACTGGTTCATCCAGACAGACACATCGGACTGTTCCCTTGGTGCCCTAATGGGATGAAAAGAAACTCACACAATATCTCATTCTTTACTCCAAGCCTGAACAAGACAAGGAGTCTCTACCCTTCCTACCAACCAGGGACTCCACTGACAACGCCTTCTACTTCATATCCTAGAGCTAGGTTCTGGGCTGTCTATCCAGCGTAACTATCATTTCCCGCCCAGCTCAGTCCTAATCTTGCAGAAAACAGTAGAGACATGACTTCTCTTCAGTGAGACGGAGAACTCTGACACGAGCCATCAAAGTGTTTCAGTGTGAAGGGGGCTGTGTAGAAGTTAATCAGTTTTTACATGTCTCAGTTTCCTTGTCCATAAATATTAATATTAACACCGGCTAACCCTCTCTATGAAGATTAAATCTGTGGAGCATGGCTAGGAATCCTGGGAAACATCCACGTGCATAGGTATACACAGAAGCAGTCTCTGGGAGGTCAGTGGCCTCAGCTCTTGGCTGTGCAGCCTTGTACTCTTACATATCCTCTCTGAGCCTTGCCTCATCTCTGAATGAGGATGATAGTATCTGTTAGTGAGACTCCAGAGGAGTCCACACAGTACATGTAGCTCTGTAGCAGCTCCCACTTGTCGCGCTGGAAGCTGCGGCTGGAGTCCCGGGCAGCACGACCCTCCAGCGCTCAGAACACACCAGTGCGGAACCAGACAGAAGAGCAGCAAGAGCCCGGTGCCCCGCACCTGCAGGCCCCAGCCCACCAAGGCGCTGCGGGAGAGCTACAATGGACAGAAACCACGCAAAGCAGGAAGAGTCAGGAGGGGCCACTTCTTCAAGCAAATGCCTTCCTGTTTCCCAGTTCAAGAGTGCTGAGGATGGGATGGCCCTACCCACCCGCAACAATCCGATCCCTGGGACAAAAAAGGCCACTCCCAGAAGAATGCGGAGTGCCCAACCCTACATCAGAGGGAAGGAGGGGGCTGCGGGGTAGCCCCTAGCAGGGGAGGGAAGGCCCCAGAACCCCCACTCCCACCCCAGCGGTTCCCTGTAGTAAGAGAGACTCCGGCAATCCACTGTACAGAGCAGAAACAGCAGCCAAGTTTATTGTCACAGGACTCCAGCCTGAGCTGAGGGGCTAGGGACTTCCTCGTCTTGCGTCACCCTGGGTCTACAGTTAGTGCACTCACAGCTGGGATCGGTTTGTCTGTGTTCTGGGGGAGGTGTGGCAGGCCAGAGATTGGTGACCCAACCGACCGAGCTTGTCCCTGACTGCTTTGGAGGGAGATCCCCGTGTCTCCACTCCTTCAGAAAAGAAGCAGGAGTCAGCACGTCGGATTTCAAACCTTTCCTGGGTGCCAGTAAGACTTGGGTGCTGGGAACTCCTTGCCAATGCAGGTTCTTCCCTGGGACTCCCCTCAGCCTCCTGGGCTCACAGTCCCACCCACGTCCCGCCCTTAAATGCTGTAAAGAGGACACAGATCTTAGGAGGCCCCTTGCCTCTGGCGGAGGAAGTCCAAAAAAGTTTTTAATTTAATCCTGTGAGACTGGGCATTGGGACAGACTGGGCCAAACCTCCAGTCCCTGGGCCAGTGTTGAAATCTGGCAGAAGGACCAGGTTTGGATGAAGAGTGTTCCCTTGGGAGTCGGAGCCACCAGGGAGCTCACATCCTCTAAGGCTTCTGGGAGTGGCACCAGCTTGGGGGGGAGGGGTAAGGGTCAAGGGAAGTCATGTTCAGGAAAACAGTGGGACACCTGGAAGAGGTTCCCAGCATTGTTTCAGGTGGACACCTGTGGGCAAGGCCAGAGGACAGCTTCCTATGTGTACTGAAGGTGCCCCCAGGTGTGTGCCCAGTTCCCCTCCTCCAGTCACTGCCCTGACTTTTCGTCCTCCCCAGGTTTGCTCCCATCAAGGCTGCAGCTGTTGTATTGGGGCTCCTTCAAGACTGACGATACAGTGAGGGTGGAAACCATCCTAGTCATAGCCCCAGAACCAGGTACAGTGCCTGGTACACAGTAGGACTTGCTAAGAGCCTAGGATGTGTGTAGCAAATCATGCAGGAATCAAGTTCGCCTTTGCTTGCAGCCTGCGGGCTCCTGCCAGTATGTGAAGGTGGTGGTGGCGACTTGGCCACCAAGATTCAACAGGGTTTGATTTTCCTGGGTCATCTTTGGGAGATTGGGGGAAAGAGCTGTGAGGCCAGCCTGCACACCTCCATCCACACGTCTTGTTTTCTGTCTCCCATCAGTTACTTTATAGCATACCTGTCCCCTTTCTCTCTCTGAAGAGTTGCTGACCACATTCTCTGGGTCATATGTAGGTTGACAAGGAAGAGGAAGGACAGGGAATGTCAGGGGGTTGGGGGGAGCGCAGGACCCTTGGGTCTCATGCAGAGATAGGGATTTTCTGTGGTCTAGGGTCAGAGTCAGGGGCCGCTCCATCCTTGAGGTCCAGGCCTCTGATGAGTAGCCAGAGCCGGGAGCACCTATGCAGAAGCAGGGATCCCAGGCTGAGGACCACCGCCAGCCACGCCAGCCCTAGAAGGATCCATATAGCTGCCAGGCTCCGGTACACAGCGATGTAATGCTTGCTGGGGTCTGTGCCTGCCGGGGAAGGTGATGGCTTGTGTCTGAGGGCACTGCCACCCCCAGTTTCCATAGGAACACTCTCTCCCTGCCCTCATACAAAGGACTAGTGGTGAAGGAAGCAGTGATAATTATCATACTAGAGACTTCTGAGGATGCAACCAAGAGTCCACAGTGGCCTCAGAAGTAACCAACCTCAGTTGGTACCTCCCTGTTCCCCATCATTGTGATGGATGTCCACCAAGATAACCTGATTATCCCATTCTCACCGACAACATAGTCCCCGAAGCCAATGGTGCTGAGGGTGATGAAAGCAAAGTAGAAGCCCTCACGGAAGCTCCAGCCTTCCACGTGGCTGAAGAACATGGGCGGGAAGATGAGAATGACCAGGGTCCCCAAAGTCAGGAACAGAGCCAGGCCCAGCACCTGCAGAAGCTGGGAGGGGAGAGTCTGCCCTTGAGACCATTGGAAGGCTCTGGAAGTATATGGGGGGGGGGGAGGTCTGGGAAAAGTCAAGTATGGGCAGGGCAATATCTAAGCCCCTTAGCCCCCTTCCCGGCTGCAGACATCTGGGTGGGGCTGTACCCATGGACATATGACATGTATGTACCAAGCTTTCCTGGGTAAGAGACTGTGTTAGTGGGTCAAGGAAGGAGTCAAAGGCTCCTTTTTCACTTGAGAATCACACTTGAGCAGACTCCCTAGGGCACTCAGATCTGGAATAAGACTACTGTCACCCACTGAACTGATCCAAGTCCCTCTGTGGGGAATGCTGGGTAGCCTGGAGACTGTTTGGGACCACATGAAATAATGCTGGATGCCCATGATGAGAATGGAGAGTAATGTAGTTTTCGGATTCTCCACCAAAGAAGGATGCTGCATAGAGCTGCCTGGCACGTGGGCACCACCCTCCCAGGGAAGTCATGTCCAGGGTCTGGCCCTTAACACTTTGCAAGTGGACTCCGTAGTCACATGTAACTGCAGAGCCCTTTGAAGCTATGCCCTGTCCTGTGTGCGTCACCTTTCTAGTTCTTTCTTGCCCCAGTCCTGCAGCTGTATAAACTGACTCTCAGATGTCTGCATACCCAAGCCCATCTCCCAATTTTCAGCTATCTCCTGGAGGGCCTGGAGGGGAGGGAGGACTCCTCCTTACCTGGGAATGCCTGGGATGGTCCTCCCACCTGTCCAATGTGGTCAGGTGGGCACGCAGCCCTGTGCCAAGGTGGTTGAGGAAGACCACGTTGAGTGGGATGCCCATCAGGGCATAGAAGACACAAAAGACCTGCCCTGCCTCCGTACTGGGTGCCAGGTTTCCGTAGCCTACAGGGCAAGGGAGTGTATAGATCAAGGGAAGAGAGAGCTCAGAACTACCTCCCACCTGCCCGCCCCAGGTCCAGCAGAGGCATGTCCCCATCATCTCTGGGGGAAGAGATGCTCCTTGTTCCCATGGATACTCACCGATTCTCTGATAGAACAATCTCTACTTATAGAAGACTCATCTCCAGTGCTGCTGCCTCCCTCCATAAAGCCCTCCTGACTGCCACCCCCTGCCTCCCACCAGTTAGGTTCCTCTGGCCCCACCCATGTGTATTTCTAATTACCCACTCTGCCTTATGTAATTGTAGCAATTTATTCCCTCTTTGATGGACGAGAAACTCTGAAAGCCAAACCCAGGACAAATCCAGGGCTATACCCCAGCCCCTACTCTAATTACCCACTCTGCCTTATGTAATTGTAGCAAATTATTCCCTCTTTGATGGATGAGAAACTCTAAAGGCCAAGCCCAGGACAAATCCAGGTCTATACCCCAACCCCTACTCTGTCACTTTGCCTGGATTGGGTTTGGGCATCACTGAATGGAAGGGAGGCCCGTGTGAGAGAGGCCTGGGGGTTCACTGGGGTGAACAGAGTGTGGGACACTGAGTTTTGAGGAACAATCTCTGTGCATAAACACTCTCCCACCTCCAGTCCCTCTATCTCCCTGAGGTGTGAGCCTGGTCTGTAGTGTTAGCTCACCAGGACCTGCAGGGAGGGCAGAAGTCAATAGGAAAGGCCCTCGTTCCCGCCTTTTATGCAGTCCTGTGAGGACAAGCTCTGCTTAGCCCTTCAGTGTGCCCCAGGGAAGAGAACCCAGCCACCTACAGCTGCCTTCCACTTCCATGGGTCTTACCTACCCTCTTCCCAATCTGTGCCTTGTGTGCCCCTCCTGCATAAACCACATCCTCGCCCCTGTGATGACTTCTGGAAGGGCTCCCAAGCTGAGCAGGGCCTAGGGAGGCCCTCCTTCCTCACCAGTTTACCTATGGTGGTGACCACTGTGCCCGCAAAGAAGAAGCTGCTCCCAAAGTCCCAGTTGCTGGGGTTGGTGGAGTTGCCTTTGGGGTTCACACCTTTCACCCAGGCTTCCAGGATGACCTGTAAAAGTGGCATGGTCAGCAGAATAGGCAGTTACTGAGTGCGAGCCGACACCAAGCTCTCAGAAGAGTGCTTTCGTGTCTCTTAGACAGCATTGTTCCTGAAATGACATGAAGGCTTTAAATGACTTGCTACATGGCCAGTAGCTGCCTGAGGTGTGTACTCTAATGAGCTAGTGGAGGGCCTAAGCAGGGGGTGTGAGGTGTCCTTGGTAGATGGGAAACTCTCTCTCTCTCTCTCTCTCTCTCTCTCTCTCTCACACACACACACACACACACACACACATCGGAGGGGGCATGTAGGACAAGGTGTTTAATGCTTCTAGAAGAGGCTGCTAGTCAAAGCGAGGTCTGGGGCTGCCCTCCCATGAGGCAGGTGGTGGGAGTGAACGCTTTCCTGGGCATCCAGTGGAGGCTGGCAGCCTTATCCTCTGGTACCCTCTAGTGAGTGCAGCCTATACCTGCAAGAGAAATTCCCTCAAAGAGACTCACAAAAAGATGTGTGTGTGTATGTATGTCTGTCTGTCTGTCTGTATATGGGTATACAATGGTGTTGTATACAAGTGATATGTTGACTGTATTGTGCTATGTAATACTGTATGGTGTGTGTGTGTGTGTGTGTGTGTGTGTGTGTGTGTGTGCGCGCGCGCACGTGCTCTCTGTGTCAAGCCTACACCCTCAACCCCTCATGAGGAATGGGCAGAGTTCCATCTCCCTAAACTCTAGCCCTCTCCCCTTTAGCTGGGAACTTGTCACAGGATGGCGGCAGCTCAACTGTGATGTCTGTCGGTGCCCCAAAGGCCGGGGAACCCCTGGGAAGCAGGACTGCTCTTGCCTCCCTTTCCTGTGGGAACTGATTTTTCATGGGCTGGGAGGAGGCCTCCCAGCCCCATGTGGCAGAAACTTACCTCTTAAGAGGTAGGCTTTGGCCTCCTCCTTCCCACACACTGGTGAGGACAGCACTCACCCAGTTCCCTGGCTGTCCTCACTGCACCTCTGAGCCCTCCATCCTGTGGAGGAGGGGTTCTGATTCCTCTGCTGGCTCTAAATGTGGATGAGTGGCTCAGAGAACCCAGTGGTGGAGGAGAAGGGGACTAGAGTACAAACTCGCTTCCTCATAGAGTCACGTTGGAATACTACACTCAGCTCTGTTTATGACTCAGCGTGGGAGTTTCCCAGGAACTGGGTTCTCCCAAAACTTACCCTGAAAGGTCAGGGTCTGTCCTGAGACTGAGGACTTTTGGGGTGTGTCTGGCCCATCTTTCCTAGTGAGTCCCTGGGCTAAGCACTGGCCCCCTTGAATGCAGTCAGATCTGGGTCATCCTTGCCCTGTGACCACAGAGATAGTTCAAGCCTTGCCACCTGTCTGCCAGCTCCTCATTCCTGATTTCATTTCCAGCTCAGAGCAGAAGGAAGTTTTGGGGTGTCCCTGTCTCTGGCTTACTTCTGGAAGGTTGGGAGACCTTGGAAAAGAGTACCATTCCTGAGTAAGGCTATATGTGGAGTATATCCTGGAACAGCAGGAACAGTGTTCCCTGCTCACGTATCATCCTGCCAACTCTCAGTCCCAAGAGAAGTCTCAGGGCCTCAGCACCACCTGGTGGCCTCCCCTGAAGCTCCTGAGTCAGCAGGGCTGGGTGGGAGCTGACGCTGGCTTTCCTATCGCGCTCATAGGCAATACTGCTGGTGGGGTTGGTCCACAGACCCTGCTTTAAGAACTGTCACTTTCAGCAGGACCCTGTCCTCAGCTGGAATGAAGAATAAGGAGCTCCCTAACAAGAAGTGTGGGTGTGAGTTCTGTCTCAGCAGTGACTGTGCAGCCTTGGCCCATACCTGCCCATCTCTGAGCCTCAGCTCCCACCTGCAAGCTGAAGATACTGGTTCAAGTAAGCAACTGGAAGGAAACACCTGGGGGTGCTCAGCCCCAGGCACTGAATCACGAGGGAACAGAGCTTTGGTCCCCACCCCTCAACACCATGATCATTGTGCGGACTGTACCTGCCTGTTGGTTCGCAGGGACTGACACCATTTGTTCTGCCTGTCTTCTCAGTGGATTTGCCTTTGCTCAAAATACCTAGTTTTCCTTTGTTTCTGGCAGGAGGGACCCAGGCAGGGAGTGAGAGGAGCTAGGGGTGCAGTCCTGGTAGAGCTCACTGCCCATCAGCCCAAGGGTCCTCACCTTGGTCTGTGTCTGCACTCTGGGACATAAACTGGGAGCCAGCAGATGGAGTAGCCGTGCTGAGAAGTGGGAGAGTGTGGGAGAGGAAATTTCTACCGTGTTGATAACTGACAGATCATGCTCAGGAAGCAAGTGACGGCTCAGAGAGGGCTTTTAATCTGCTGCCAAATGTTAAACCACAGACTCTGTGTGTGTGTGTATGTACATATACAAGTTTGTGTTTGTGCAGATGTGTGCACACATATGTGTGTATGTGGCCAGAGATCACCCTCTGGTGTCATTCCTCAGAGCCATCAGCCTTGCTTGGTTTTGTCTTGGGACAGAGTCTCTCACTGAACTAGCCCTGGTTAGGTTGGCTTGGCCAGTGAACTCTTGTGATCCATATGTCTCCCCAGTCCGTCCACCCACCCAGTGCTGGGGTCACAGATCCTTGCAGCCATACCCCGAGTTATCCATGGGTGCTGGGGGTTCAAACTCAGGTCCCTATGCTTATAGAGAAACTGCTCTTTCCGACTAAGCCATCTCTAGCTTTCCACAGATTTTTTTGAGACAAGTCCTTTCTCATTGGCCTGGAGCTTGCCCACCTGGTAAGGCCGGCTGGTCAGAGAACCCTAGAGATCTGCCTACTGGGCCTCTCCAGTGCTGGGATTAGAAGTCACCATGCCTGTTATATTTTTTTTTCATTTAAAATTACATTTTAATAGTACATAACACTGTGTGTGTGTTTGTGTGTGCATGCACATGTGTGTGTGTGTTTATATGTGTTAGGACATGTCATTGTAAGTGTGTCAAGATCAGAGGACAGCATTCCGGAAGCTGGCTTCTCTACTTTCACCATGTGGGTTCCAGGAATTGAACTCAGGTCATCAGGCTCCGTGCCAAGTAAGCACCTTTACTCACTGAGCCAGCCATCTTCCCTGTCCCACACCTGGCTTTGTAATGTGGTTTATGGGCGTAGAGCTGAGGTCCTCATATTTGCCTGTCAGACATTTAACTGCCTGAGCTCCCTCCCCAACCCCAGTCACCTCCTTTCCCCCTCACTGATGAGGGCACACAGGTTAGGTAACCTGATCAAGGTCACATAATGGACCTGCAGACCAAGGTTCTGGAGTTTCCTCCACACTCAGTCTCTGCACCTGCCACCGGCCCCCTCCACCCACCTCCCCACTCTTCCTGGCCCATCCTTCCTTGCTCCCTCACCTGCACAAACTGCTCCAGGGCCTGCTGGTCCAGGCAGGTGTAGTTCTCTAGGAAGCGCAGCTTTTCCAGCTGGAACTGGTCCCTGGATTGAGCTTCTGCCTGCTTCTCCAGCAGCTGGAAGATGGTGGCCCCAAGCAGCAGGTAGCAGATATAGGCCAGAAGCAGGGGCAATACCTGGCCACCCCAGCAGCTGCAGAGCCCAGCACGGGGCATGGTGTGTGTCGGGCTCTGCAGCAGCTCTCAGGGTGGCTGAGGGGAGAGTCGAGAAGAGGTGAGAGCCCCTGCTACTGCCTTCCCTGTCCTCCACCTCACAGGTGTCTGCGGCAGGGGAGTCTGTTTGAACAGTGTGGTGTGCAAACAGGCCCGCCATCCCCCACCCAGCCTTGTTTTTCCATGCACAGCAGCAAGGTAGCGAATGCATGGGCCCCTCGGGGACACCTACAGGCTTCTCCTGAGCTCGTCTGGCCTCATCCTCTGCTTCCAAGTGAGGCTGAGTGTGAGACAATCTGAATGGGAGCCCACTCCGCTGGGTCTAAGAGGGCTCTTGACAGCTTCAGATCCCTCACTTGGGAAGGCACAAATACGGGAGTCTAGAAGGGAAGTGTCACAGGGTGTGGGTTGGCCTTGCTTCAGAAAGGAATAAGGAAGATTAAACTGCCTATTGGGGGAACCCGGGGATGAATAAAGCAGAGTAAAGCAAATCAGAGCAAAGCAAACAGGCAGATGACAGCCTTGCTTAGCAGCATTATCAACCGGTGGGACTGACACATGGGAGGCCCTGGTTACCACCAGGTGTCACCTCTGCTGATGGTCAGACTTGTTTGAGACCCTGGAGGCTGTTGAGCTCAGGAGGCAGAAGTGAGTCTTCACCCCCACAGTGTTGTCAGTGGCTCCTTCTTCCCCTGAAGAACCCACGGTGCCTCAGTTGACCTTTGGCGAGCGCGACAGCTTTATTGACATTATATAATAGCTCACCAACATACACTGAAAGTGGCCACTCCCACAGTGTCCTGGTTAATTTTCTCATTTCTGAGAAAACACCTGAGAAAAACAACGGAAGGAAGGAAGGAAGGAAGAAAGGAAGGAAGGAAGGAAGGAAGGAAGGAAGGAAGGAAGGAAGGAAGGAAGGAAGAAGGAAGGAAGAGTTTCTGTTGGTTCATAGTGTAGGGTCAGCTCGTCATGGCAAGGAGAAGCGCGGCTGCAGGAGCATGAGGCGGCTGGTCACATGGCTTCTGCAGGCAGGAAGCAGAGAGAGCTGCGAGCTACTAGTCAGCTTGCTTGCTTTGCTTTCCTTTTTCCTTTCTTTTTTCTTTTCTTTTTTCTTTTTCTTTCCTTTTCTTTCTTTCTTTCTTCTTTTTTTTTTTTTGAAATAGGGGTTCAAAAAAGCCCTGTGTGTAGCCTCAGCTGTCCTGGAACTCACTCTGTATACCAAACTGGCCTCCAACTCAGAGACCCATCTGCTTCTGCCTCCTGAGAGCTGAGATTAAAGGTGTACGCCACTACTGCCCAGCTGCCTTCTCCATTTTTATTCAGTCTGGGACTCCAGCCATCCATGGTCCTGCTCACATTCAACAAGGATCTTCCCACCTCAATAAATTCAATCTAGAACTTTGTCACAGAGGTTTGTCTCTCTCTCTCTCACACACACACACACACATATACACACGTGCATGCACACAGGCTTGTCTCCTAGAAAACTCACACAGAAGTTTGTGACATATGCACAGCTTGTCTCCTCGGTAAGAGCCGGATGGAACTAGAACTCTGCCTGGTAAGCAACAGCCTCGTGGCAACACACAGATTAATGGAGATGAGCTAATTTAACGTATGAGCTAGCCAGAAATATGCTTAAGCTATAGACCAAACAGTGATTTAAATAATATAGTTTCTGTGTGATTGTTTCGGGAGTCTGGGCGGCCGGCTTCCTACTACACCTGTCAAGTTGACAGTCAGCACTGATCGTCACACATGGTCTGTGCTATATCCACAGAGTTATAAGACCACACTACTATCAAGTACTTCAAAGAGGAGCCCCTCCCATTAGCCATTGCTTCCCACTTCACCCAAGTCTAGTCTCTTAGACTATGGGAACCTGTTTTCTGTCTCTAATAGATTTCCCTATTTCGGAAATTTCGTATAGAAGAAATGCGACAGAATCGGATCCCGGAAGCAGCTGTGGCGGCTCAGTTCTTCTATAGCTCTCTCTGTCTCCCTTCCGCTTCCCGAAACATGGCCTCTGGTGTGGCTGTCTCTGACTGTGTCATCAAGGTGTTCAAGGACATGAAAGTGCGCAAGTCTTCAACGCCAGAAGAAGTGAAGAAACGCAAGAAGGCGGTGCTCTTCTGCCTGAGTGAGGACAAGAAAAACATCATCCTGGAGGAGAGCAAGGAGATCCTGGTAGGAGATGTGGGGCAGACTGTGGACGATCCCTACACCACCTTTGTCAAGATGCTGCCAGACAAGGACTGCCGCTACGCTCTCTACGGTGCCACCTACGAGACCAAGGAGAAAGAGAAGGAGGACCTGGTGTTCATCTTCTGGGCCGCTGAGAGTGCACCCCTTAAGAGCAAAATGATCTACGCCAGCTCCAAGGATGCCATCAAGAAGAAGCTGACAGGAATCATGCATGAGTTACAAGCAAACTGCTACGAGGAGGTCAAGGACCGCTGCACCCTGGCAGAGAAACTAGGTGGCAGTGCCATCATCTCCCTGGAGGGCAAGCCTTTGTGAGCCGCCTCCAGCCCCCTGCCTGGAGCACCTAGCAGCCTCAGACCTGCTCATGGGTGTTGCAGGCTGCCCCTTTCCTGCCAGATCTGAGGGGCTGAGGGATCCCAGCTGGGAGAGGGTAATCCCTTCACCCCAATTGCCAAATGTCACCCCCCACCCCCTGGACTGTCCTTCTCCCTCCACCCTGACGGTTCTGGCCTTCCCAAACTGCTTTTGATCTTCTGATTCCTCTTGGGTTGAAGCAGACCAAGTCCCTTCCCAGGCACCCAGTTTGGGGGGAGCCTGCCCTATTTTTTTAACGACATCCTACTCCTCATACCCCCATCCCATGCTGCCACCTTCTAATAACAATAGTGACTCTGTGCTTGTCTGTTTAGTTCTGTGTGGAAATGAAATGTGGAAATGACCCTCCCTTGCCAGCTGGTTGCCCTCCCCTTCCCCTTGTTCTCAGCCACTCATGAAAGCAGGACCAGTAAGGGACCTTCAATTTAAAACAAACAAAAAACAACAACAAAAAGGCTAATTAACAAGGAAAAAAAGAAGAAGTGTGACAGAGATGAGCTCCTGCTCCACTTCTCTGCCTTTTTCTCTTGGTGTTTCCTAGTTCTGATCCCATGGGGAAAGGCAGGGTGACCATGAAAACATTCACATCGTGGTCATTTCACAGGTATCCAGTACCAGATGGGACATCTTTGGGTCAAGTAAGTAAGCAGGCAGGATTCTGGAACTGAGCTGCTCCATCAAAGGAGGTATGGCCATCACAGGTATGGGCACCAACTAGAAGAACCTGTGGTGCAGATGCTGTGGCCAGCCTGTAAGGACAAACAGCCACCATTTCTTCCATGACGATGAGAGAATATGCATGCTGGGGCTGGAGGGGTGTGGTGGTTTGAATAAAAATGCTCATATATTTGAATGTTTAGTCCTTGGTGGAACTGTTTGGGGAGGATTAGGTATGGCCCAGTTGAAGGAGATATATCACTAGGAGCAGGCATTGAGCTTTCAAAAGTCCATGTCAGGCCTAGTTAGTGCTCTCTGCATCATGCTTGTGGATCAAGATGTAAGGTCTCAGCTACTGCTGCAAGTACCACGCCTGCCTGCCCACTGCCATGTTCCCTATCATGATGGCCGTAGAGTCACCCTTTGAAACTGTAAGCCAGGCCCCAGTAAACTCTTCTTTTCTAAGTTGCTTTGGTCAGTGTTGTCTCTTAAAAGAACTAAAAAAGTAACTAAGAAAGGAGCCTTACAAAAAACCAGAGCAAGGGGGAGAATTTTTATGAATTTCAAGTTTATGAGAAAAAGAGTAACAGAGGGTTTCTCCTCTGCTACAAGACTTAACATAAAACACAACATCACTGGTGTGAGGTGAGGCAGGAGCATGACTGCTTGGTATTAAGAGCAAGAACAGGTGTGTTCAGTTTTGGAGGGGGTGTGAGGAGAGCTGGGGCGTCATCTTTTCTGAAAATTCCCTGCTGGGTCTGGTGTATGATGCTTCCAGAATGGGGTCTCTCTCAAGAACACAGCCATGTGGTTGGGGAACTTTTGAAAACTCATTGTTTTGAGACAATGTGTTATGTAGCTCTGGTTATCCTGGAACTCACAATGTAGACCAGGCTGGCCTCAGACTCACCTGCCTCTGCCTCCTGGGTGCTGGGATTAAAAGCATGTGCTACTATACCCAGCTGATTTCTGAAAACTCTTAGAGTCTAAGACTTAGACCACAAAATCTCTAGGGATTGAAATATAAAGGTTAGCCTGACAGTGGTGGCGCACGTCTTTAATCCCAGCACTTGGGAGGCAGAGACAGGTGGATCTCTGTGAGTTTGAAGACAGAGAAATCCTGTCTTGAAAACCATAAAACAAAAAAGCAAAAAGAAATTTATAAAGAAACACAGAGGTGAAATATGAATGAGGACATCTCATGGGGTCCTCAAAGCCCCCTCCCATTCCCTCACAAGATTCAGGAAGCTCAGAAACTTCCAAGAGTCACAAAGCCACTCCCGAGGGTACATGGACAGTAAATACTTCCTAGAGAGGAGACTAGAACTGCCTTCAGTTGTGCAGGGAGCTCCAGGTGTGCACCCTGGAGGTTGTCACCCATGCTGGAGTGGGCTTCTCAGAGATCTCCTGTGAGTGACACAGAAATCTCATTGGTTCACCAAGATGGACTTTGGTAGAATGGTTTCTTAAGTCTAAAATCCATTCCCTATCTGGAGAGAACAGAGATTTTTTTCACATCTCCCCAGGAAAAGCCACACAACCCTCCCTCCATCCCTTCTTCCCTCCTTCCCTCTCTTCCTTCTTCTAAACATCCAAGGCTAGTGTCCTCTGTGTGTTGGGGGTCTGCCAGCCCTTGATGTCTGAGCTATTGAACCCTCTGCACCTCCTAACCCAGTATCTCCTTGTGTGGCTAGTAATCCACTGTGAGCAAGGACTAGACACGAGGCTTGATTTATAACCCCTTTCTGGGAATTATTACTGCTAACAGGCAGAGCCAATGTGTGCTTCCTAAGTGGGGAGGGCAAAATCAATTAATGACAAATGTAAAATGGCCAGGCAGGCTTGACGGCAGAGCATGGCCTAACATCTGGAGGTGATAAGAGATTTTCTGAAGCTGAACTAATAGAGAGATTGGAGGGGAGAAAAAACCCAGATCAATCCCATGTACAATGGACAGAGAATCCAGAGTAAACAGAGTAGCTGGGCTTGGATTTCCTTCCATCTGAATGAGCCCTGAGATAAGGAAAAGGACAGGCCACCCATCCAACATCGGTATTTGCTTATGGATTCACTCAATCAACGTGTCTGTGTAGGGGTAAAAGAACACCTTCCAAGGGGAGAGGTTGAGGCCCACAGGCCCCAGGTTTGGGCCCTGTAAGAGGAAGAGCAGAAGCAGAAGTGAGGAGGGCCACCTTTAATGCCCCACCTAATAGAACCAAGTGGCTACAGGGCTAAGTGGTAGCAAGGATGCCGGGCGCTCCTGGAAGTCTCCGTACTGTGATACTGTAAGAGAACGTTCCATGTGCGACAGATAGAACAGGTCTGTATGAATCTTTATCTGAGAAGCTGATCTCAGAGAAGGTCCAACTTGCTGTGACCGGAAGTGAGGATGTGGGATGCTGAGGGATGACTTTAGGGGGCTCTCTAATTAAATAATCAGACATGCCTAGTGGTTTTTAAAAGATTTATTTATAGTATTATTTTATGTCATAAATGATTTGCTTGCATGAATAAAGACCGTGTGTGTGGGTGTGTGTGTGTGTGTGTGTGTGTGTGGTGCTGAAAGACAACACTGAATACTCTAGATTTCAGTTACAGATGATTATGAGCCCCTGTGGTGGATGGTTTTATGTCAACTTGACACAAGCTAAAGTCATCTAAGAGGGAAAAAACTCAATTAAGAAAATGCCTTTGGGGGCTGGAGAGATGGCTCAGAGGTTAAGAGCATTGCCTGCTCTTCCAAAGGTCCTGAGTTCAATTCCCAGCAACCACATGGTGGCTCACAACCATCTGTAATAGAGTCTGGTGCCCTCTTCTGGCCTGCAGGCATACACACAGACAGAATATTGTATACATAATAAATAAATAAATATTTTTTAAAAATGCCAATGGGGCTGGAGAGATAGCTCATGGTTAAGAGCACGGGCTCGTAACCCAAGTTCAATTCCCAGCACCCACGTCAGATCCCAAATGGGACTGCCAGGTCCTCTAGCACAAGGCAATGCAGAAAATGGTCAATTATTTATTGTAAATGTGCTGAAGGCCTCAAAATTTTATTTAAAAAATCTTATCAATAGCAAAGGTTTAAAAAAAGACTTTTCCATCATGTGGCACTAAGCCAAGGAAACTGTGAAGAAATGTCCTACTTGTTCTTTATACAACCGACACCACTACCTGCAGCAAGTAACCCAAAGAATACTCAAAGGAATGAAATCTGGTGTATTGATGTATTCCCATTTGTAGAATCTGAAAAACTAAAGTATGTACACCACACTATTGATACCTATTCAGGTTTTCTACGGACAACTGCTTTGAGTTTGGAAAAGGCTAATTTGGTAACCACATATTTGCTAGAAGTTATGGCCATCATAGGTATGTCTGTATACAAATAAAGACAGACAGTGCTCCATCATATGTCTCTAAGAAAATGAAACAGTTTTTTTTGCTTCTTATAATATAAAGCATATTACAGCTATACCACACAATCCTACAGGGCAGGCAGTTATAAAAAAAGATCAAATCAAACTCTAAATGATATATTAAATAAACAGAAAGGTATAATAAAGACCCCCCAGAAATACATTGCATAATGTTTTATTAACTTTTAACTTTCTAAATGCTGATGAGAAAGGAACAACAGCTTTGGAGAAACATTGGATAATAGAAAAAAAAACTATGGAATTAAATCAGTCAGTACACTTTAAAGATGTGTTGCCCTCATAATGGAAGCCAGGACATGTGTGGATTGGGAAAAGGATTTTGTTTTTGTTTCCACAGAAGAAATGCTATGGATACCATCAAAACTGATAAAGATTCTATTTGAACAAGAGACACCTCTTAATTAGAAGAGATAATATTTCATCAAGCAGCATGGCTGTTTAAACTAACCTATAAAACTAACAAGTTTTATTTTCATTTGATCAGATATAACTTGTCAAAAGAGAATCTCCCCAAAATTAGGGTTGGGGAAGGGTTTTGGTTCTATGTTTTCAGAATAATAAAGACATCCACATAAGGGATCTGAAAACCACTGGACAAACAAGAAATCTGAAATAAAAGGACACATCATTCAGAAAAAGTATCCCAAGAAAAGGAGTAAATTGGCCTATTGGTATATCACATTTCCAACAAGATAAAATTTCATGAATCTTCCCAAATGTTTGTTTCTGTTCTTCTCCACAGACATATAGTGCAAATGATCCTTTTTTAATTGATTTTTATTTGGCTCTACATTTTTCTCTGCTCCCTCCCTGCCTCTCCCCTCCCCCCTTTAGCCCTCCCTCAAGGTCCCCATGCTCCCAATTTACTCAGGAGATCTTGTCTTTTTCTACTTTCTACTTACCAGGTAGATTATACCTATGTAAGTCTCTCTTAG